TGTGTTTTTTCGCTGATTCGGTTCTGCAGGTTCTCTGCTGGTACACTGGAGACGGGGATCAAGCAGTTTGTCTCACTCGGGATAGATTGTGCTTTTTTGGTTCATAGTTTATGATTGACGTGCGATTTATTCGCGTTTAGAGGGAATAAATTTCCGTTATAACGGAAACGTGGGCACAGTTATCTAACGTTATACAAAATACACAGACTAACTAACTAACTAACTAACTGACTAACTAAGTGATTGACTAACATAAACAACTGAAAATTGAAAAAAACATAGCTTGCACCGTTAGCTCCGGTAAGGGAAAGCATGAGGGAAAGCGGCTGACCGGAAGTCACGCACAAAAAACCGGAAGTTGGTCACTATTTACTTCCGTGTTTGAAAATAAGGTGGATTGATCAGTTATTAATTAAACACTAATCAATGAACAGCTGCAGCTCGACTGAAGAGTCTCGTGGAGACTCAGGTCGGACTGAAACTCACCAGCTGAACATGAAATGACCTTTTTATTTCACCACCTTCACAACATGTTGAACATCATGTAAAATCACACGTGACAGAGAGTCGGATTGATGAAGCCAATCAGTGAGCACGAACATGAGGTCATGAGGTCATGTGACAACGCTGTCACCTGCTGCTCACCTCAACGTCTGGTTGTTCCTCCATCACTTCCTTCTTTGCTTCTTCTTCTCCTACACCACCCTCCTCTTCTTCATCTGCTACTTCTACCTCTTCTTCTTCTTCATCCTCCTCCTCTTCCTCCTCTCCCTCAAAGCAGCCGACAGCGTCCACAGTGATCAGCTCCTCCTCCTGAGCCTCCTGCAGGTGCACCTGGGAGGAGACAGACACAGAATCAAACTCACTCTGTTTACCAGCTGACTTTAATTAACGGGTTGTTCTGGTGCTGAGCGTTACAGGTATGTGCCCGTGCAGGTTTCATCAAATGGACCCCCCCCCCAGCTGTGCTCGGCTGCGCCCCCTGCTGACCTGCTCTTTGTGCTCCGCAGACTTCATGTGTTCCACGAACTTCCTGGGAGTCCTGAAGTGACGTTTACAGACGGGACAGAAGGGACGACTCAGCTGCTTACACGTCTGCAGACACAGAAGAAGAAGAGACATTTATAAACCTGTACTTCCTGTAACCTCTTCACAATAAAAGCCTCTTGCTGATACACAGGTGGAAAGCTTTTAATGTGACGCAGCAACAGGAAGTGTTCAACCCTCTGACCAATGAAAAGCAGCAGCGTCCATGATGTCATCAGTGTTGTTTCCCACCTTGTGTTGTTTCGACCGTCGATGGACGATGACGTCGCCGCTGAAGTGAGTCTGACACGTGTCACACCAGCGCTGCGTATCAGGCCGACGCCCCCTGGAGGACACAGGAGGAACCAATCAGGACGAGTCCACTGTGTGTGTGTGTGTGTGTGTGTGTGTGTGTGTGTGCGCGTGTGAGTGTGTACCTGTCCTGCAGGGTGTGTGTGTTGAGGCAGATGGAGTGTGTCATCTCCTTCAGTTTCTTCAGGTGTTCTGATCCAGTCATGTGCTCCTGAAACACCTGGACACACACACACACACACACACACACACACACACACACACGGTCGTCTGTCATGAAGCAGAGGTCTGAACCCAGAGGAGCAGAGTGAAGAGGAGGCGTTACCATGGAGACATGTCTCACCTGCAGGGAGCGACAGGTGAGGTTACAGACGTGACAGTGGAGTCCACCTGTCTGTCTGTCCGTCTGTCCGAACTCTCTGCTCTCACTGCTCTGCTGGATGGTGACCTTCAGTGACCTCACGCTCTGCAGCTGACACACAAACAGGAAGTGTTGCAACACTTACACTAATGAGTGATGTCATGAAATGCAGATGACATCAGAGTGTTACATCATCACCTCAGCTGCTCTGCTGTCCTCACTGAGCTCTGCTGAGCCCTGCTGCTCTGGAGGAGGTCTGGAGGAGACATCTGAGGACACATGAGACACATGAGACACGTCACAGCTCATTCTGTCTCTACTACTGATACACTGACTGACAGTGACATTAACCAATCAGGTCACTGACAGCAGGGCTGGGCGCCGGTGCTCTGTTGACTCCTCCCACTCAGGAGCAGACGGTTTGACTTGTGTGCTTCAAACTGAACTGCTCTAACTTTAAATAACGTTTCTTATTGGTCTGTGTCATCTTTTATAGAAGCAGATTCACACAGTCACAGTTCACAGAAGGACACAAGTTCCATCTTGGCCTCAGACTGAACTGTGACAAACACCATCATCACTGCTCCCAAATCTCTCTTCAGATCCAGCCACAGCTCCTCCTCTCCATCGACAGCTCCACTGTGCTCTCCTCCCCTCTGTAACCTCCACCTTTGATCAAACCCTCTCCTCTGACCAACACATCAAACACATCACAGCCCTCCTCCACCTCAGAAACATCGCCCACCTCCGTCCATCTCCTGCTCTTCAGCTGCAGAGACTCATTCACACATTCATCACCTCCAGACTGAGACGGTCTCCTCTACAGTGTGTCAGTCACAACACTCAAACTACATTCTGAGCTCTGCTGCTCGTCTTCTCACACACTCCCACACCGTTGACCTTCATAACCTCCACTGGCTCCCTGTCCCCCAGCTTAACCACTTCAAACTCCTCATCATCACTAATCAAGCCCTCCATGACCTGTCTGAGCTCGATCTGGGGGGACACCAGAGACTCCCCGTCACTCTCCACCTTCAACAAATCCTTCAGAACACACCTTTTGAAAACTGCCTACAACTTCTACACTCGCTACTCGTCAGGTGTTTCTGAGCTCCAGGTGCCTGGCCTTTTTGCCAGAGCGCTCTGAACTCCTCGAGTTGACAACAAGTGTACAGTTGATAACCAATGGAGGAGAAACTGGTGGTAGTGGTTGCTGGATACCCAGAGCTATACGACTTTACAAAGCACAGTTAGCACCATTTTAATAGAAAACAGCAGATAAGTGCAGTACTGTAAACGTCCATGATGGAGGAGAAGCTCCTGGACCAACTGGTGGTACTCCCCATGATCCAGCCTCTTTTTTAGGGTCTCATGTACCCACACAGATCTCTGTTTATCTGCTGACAGCCTCTCACCCTCAACCAGAGGCAGCTGTGAGATCCAGTAAAGAAAGAGCTGAGAGTCTGTCAGCATCTGTGTTTACTGTGAGGTCACCGGAGCTGCGTCAATAATATGATGTCATCTGACACCTGATTGGTGCGTGTATCGTTATCTCTTAGAAATTTCAATATCTGTTTGTAAGCGACACACACACACACACACACACACACACACACACACACCTGCTGTGGAGCAGCTCTCACTTCCTGGTTGACCACATGACCCTGAGACTCTCTCTCTATTGGTCAGAGCGGCGGCCTCTTCACTTCTGAGAGAAAACACAAAAAAAAAATTGAGTTCAATAAAACGTCACACATTTAAACTTGTTTTTATTGTGATGTGTGGGTCACAACAACAACAACAACAACAACAACAGCAGTAACAGTGTCTCAGACAGCTGACGTTCCACAGTCACATGTCAAACTATAAAAACGTCCATCTTTAATATTCGTTCTAATTAATTTATTATTTACTGAATTACAAACAGTAAACAAGTGTTTGTTTCTGTCTCTGTGAACTCTGTGACGCAGCAGAGTGAACGAACGCAGCAGGTTTTCACTGTTAATATTTCTCAGTAAATAAAGATGAGACGCTGCAGTTTATGTGTCAGACTGAGCTGAGCTGAGAGACTGAGGTCAAAACACTTGACACCACCAACAGCTACAGCTCTGACCATCATCACTAATCAATCAGTTATCAATCAGTCATTTATTGATCACAGCTTCTTCAGCATGTTGATGATTTCTTTTCCACTACTGTTCATAGTGTGATGAAGACTGCGGCCTGTAGAGGGCGCTAACAGCACTTAGGTGAAACATCTTCAGTAAAATAAAACTATAAATAAAAAAATAAAAGAAGAATAAATAAATAAATATGAATAAATAAAATAAGTAATAATAAATATAAAATAAAATTTACTTTAGAAATAAATAAAATAATAATATATCAAAAATAAATAAAATTAAAATAAAAAAAAGAAAGAAAAATAAAAGAAAGAAAATAAAAAGTGTCTGACCCGTCCAGTCTTGCCCTCTTCGTCCCTCCTCCTCCTCCTCCTGCTATCTCTCCTCTCTCTTCTTCTGTGGTGGAGGAGCTGCAGCTTCCTGTCGCTGAACCCTGACAAATAAAACCACACACACAGTGAAACAGACGGGTGACAGCAGACACACAGCAGAGGGTGCATTTGTTTCATTGACCTGCTGAGTCAGGAGGTGTTTCCTCTGTATAAGGCCGACGGGGAACTGAACCTGCGTCACGCTGTTACACCCCCCAGAGACAGGTACAAAACACCTGAGAGAGAAACCAGTCACACCAGTCAACAGCTCATCACAAGACCAGAAGCTCAAATAATTCATACATTATTCTGTCTGTAAAGAGGCAGGTGGAGGAAATATTATGAAATAATAATAATGATATCACAGTGTAGAAATAACCTGTGACTCAAACTCTTTCTGAAGTTAAAGTACAAAAGTATCAGAATCAAAATATACTTAAAGTTCCAAAAGTACTGATTCTGCAGAGTAATAAATATCTGATGTTACTGACTCATTAATGTGTTAATCAGCTCATTTGAATCTCTTATATCCTGCTGGATTCATCTGTGATAACACATCAACATCATTTATTACTGATTATATTTTGTATCAATAATCTGAATCTGTGAAGGAACTAAAGCTGCCAGATAAATGTGCTGCAGTAAAAATATTTTACAGCTTCATTGATTATTTTACAGATTCATTATTTTGCCTGTAAAATCTCCAGAAACAGTCAAAAAAATCATCAGTTATTATTTCCTTCAGTCCAAAGTGACGTCCTCACGTCTCGTTCTGTCCAGCCAACGGTTCAAAACCCAAAATTATTCACTTTACTTTCATGTTTGACAGAAACATTTAAAAAATCGCCACATGTGAGAAACTGGAAACAGATTCTGTTTGTTGTTTGCACTGTGAACACAAGCTGTCCTGTGTCACTGCACTTCACTGCACAGCATCTTTATGGATTCAAATATTGTCTTTATCTGTGTCGTTTTATTGAGTTAATGTCTCATTAAAATGTCGTGTGAAAAACTGCACTGCAACTGTTGGAGGAAAAACATTTTGACGTCTCCCTGTGTTTCAAAAATAATTCACAGCTTTGTTGCTGTTTCACCTACGTTTTACACAAAGTTTTGGAATCAGAGTTTTGAGGTGAGGAGAATGTTAAAGGGATAGTGCACCCAAAAATGAAAATTCAGCCATTATCTACTCACCCATATGCCGATGGAGGCCCTGGTGAAGTTTTAGAGTCCTCACATCACTTGCAGAGATCGGCGAGCGGAGCAGCTAGCACACCTAATGGTAGACGGCGCCCCAGTCTAACGTCCAAGAACACAAAATTGAATCCACATAGTATCTCCATACTGCTCATCCATAGTGATCCAAGTGTGCTGAAGCCCCGACATAAAAACTCTGTTTTTAGCCTCACTGTAGCCTGTAGCTCTGACTGCTTCTCTGTGCTCTGTGCTCACGTGTGTGCGCTCAGGGTGATCGGTGATGCACGGTCTCTGAAGAGCAGCAGTCTCGTCAGTACTGATGTCCAGATTCTCAAGTGCAGGCATCGCCAACTCCCAGTCTGAGCAGCAAAGACTTTCCTCATCCGTTGGCATTGCTTTGCATTTGAAACAACTACACCACCAGGTTTCCAGTGCTTGACTCCGGTATTCTGCGGCTGGCTGAGGGTTAGGCTCATGAGCTGCGGCGGCTGCTTCGTCCAGTAGCCTGAGTTCCGTCCGTATACTCGGGCTCAAACAAATACGGCTCAACAAAGAAATGCTGTTCCTCCTCAATTTCAAAGTCTTCAGACATGTTGGGCTGTCCTTTGCTAAAAGACCGTAGTGCAAATTATCTTTTAGCTCTGTGGTTACTGTTGTCTCCCCCTGCGTAGCACAGAGAGGCAGTCAGAGCTACAGGCTACAATGAGGCTAAAAACAGAGTTCATATGATGTTTTTCCAAACTTTTTATGTCGCGGCTGCAGCACACTTGGATCACTACGGATGAGCAGTATGGAGATATTTTGTGGATTCAATTTTGTGTTCTTGGACGTTAGTCTGGGGCGCCGTCTACCATTAGGTGTGCTAGCCGCTCCCCCTGCTGATCTCCGCAAGTGATGTGAGGACTCTAAAACTTCACCTGAGCCTCCATCGGCATATGGGTGAGTAGATAATGGCTGAATTTACATTTTTGGGTGCACTATCCCTTTAAGGTGTGTTTTAAATGATGATCTTACAGAGTAAACACACACACACACACACACACACAAGGTCGTGCTATGATTGATTTATTTAAAGGAGCTCTGAATTTCAGTTTGAGACTGACTGGTGTTGGTTTCTGGATTATTTTAATTGATAGTGGTGTGTGAGATCTTGTGTTTGATTATTAACCTTCATTTGAGTCTGTTTTAGGTTCAACATATAAAACTGTTTAACTCAAGGATGAAATGATGATTTGTCTTTTCCCTTCACTTTCTGTAGCGGAGGACATGAGCTATTCTCCTGTGTGACACCCAAATCATACGGTGTTCAACTGGGGATAAATCTACGCTACAAACTCACCTGTCTGACAGGTGACACTTTGATGTATATCTCTGTCTTGTAAATACTGATCTTTAACTTCAGTTTCTCAGATGACAGGAGACATTTGAGCCTCTGATCCGTTGTTAAATGTCTCAGTGTGACATTAACAGCAGAAACCAGTGAGCAGCCATTATAACCAGTCCTCACCTGTCTGATCTCCTCTGCTGTTTGACCATGTTGAAGACCAGATGACCTTTGACCTCTCTGCTCCGACACTCACCTGCACGGACAGTTTAATGATCAGTTAAATTAAGACGCTGATGAAGTTAAAATGACAAAGCCACACTGTGAACATTCAAATAAAATCTGCAGCCGCCTGAACCTGTAAAATAAACAGAACTCTTATGGAGTAAAAACTACAATCTTTTCCTCTAAACGTCATAAACACGCGTCTCAGTAACGGACAAACTCCAGTAAATAACTCAAACTAATTAGTTAATATTAATCCTTCAGTCCCGTCTTCAGGTTAACATATGAATAAATACAGACTTAAATCAAACTTGATGAACACAGAGACACATTCCTCGTTATAAAGATCGCTTCTACTTTTCGTTTATACAGAACTCCGTTCAAATACTACGACATTTTAATGTGGAGATCGTCATTGCTCCGCTGCAGAGGTCTCAGAAAACGACTTGATTCTCAGGTGAACTAAAAACAAACAGTAGAAAAATAAAACCTGCGTTGAGCTCAGTGTATAAGCCGAATATACAATTGACCTCTGCTGATTCCTAACATGTCTTACTTAATTAGATATAAGACACTGTACTCGTTAAAAAACACAGACAATCTTTAATTGTGTATATTTCTAATGGAAGTCTTGCACCGTTCGTGTTTGGCTAACATTAGCGACATTAAGTGGCTTCTCCGAACAAACAGAGCTAAACTTGAATGTTTAATATGTCTCTGATGTTTATCACAGTTTAACAGAAGCGTAAATACATGTTATTAACTTATTCACAGTTAGATGAAGCTCAACTTACCGCTCAGCAGAAGCTAAGGCTAAAGCTAGCTCCGCTACATGTAAACACAGCACACTGACTCGGTGGTTGTTTCTGAGCTGCTCTGTCGCCCCCTGCAGGCCGGAGGGAGAACTGCGGCCACCTGAGGAACTGCAGCTGCTTCTTTGAAACACGTCTGATGTTATAAAATCATTGACACTGAAATACCTGAATATAGAATATAATTATATTCAATCCTATTGTGATTCTGTTTTATTCACTCCTTTATTTGTAATCTGTGTTTGTCAGATTATGTTTCTTCTGTAATGTGACTGTGTTTATAATGTTTTCACTGCCTGCATTCATCAACACAGTGTTGTGTTAATTACCTGAATCCAGATTCTGATGTTACACAATAGAAACATGATCTATTTCACAGTGAAGCTGATTAATGTCTCTGAATAACATAAAACAAGCCTGAGCAGAGGTGACGGCTGCAGCCTCGCCTCAGAGGACATGACATCAGTGTTTATCTGTGTGTAACTGTTTATCTGTGAAATCATTCAATCAATAAATGTATTGTATGGAGTGTTTCCAGGCTGGAGGGGAGAGCTGTGATTGGCTGATGTGGTCTGGAAGTTATTTGCAGGTTGCAGTGAATCTGCTGGAATTTCCTGGATTCACTGAGCAGACGGAGACGCTGCAGACATGAGAGGAGGAACACACACACACACACACACACACACACACACACACACACTACTAAACTCCTCTTTACTGTATATATATTAATTTATTACTTCTACTGTTTGTGTTTTTTTACATTTTACTTTTTTTTCTTTTTTTAATTTACTGTCTTTGGCTTAAATCAATTCTATAATTTGGTGATTTGAAGAAATGTTTTCTTGATTTTTATTTTTCAATTTTGCATATACTGTAGGGTTTTTTTTTTACTTTACAGTTTTTTGGCTGCGATAAATGGTTTAATTTTGTCAAGGCAGATTTGGAAGGCATGTTTTCTTTGAAATTTGTCAATATTTTTCAACATTTTCAATTTTTAAAAAATGTATTTTATTTTATATTTAAATCTACAGTTTTCTGGCTGTGATAAATGCTGTCATTTTGTCAAGGTGGGTTTGGAAGGCATATCTTTTTTAAAATTGTTTTCTTTAAAATACGTCAATTTTTTTCATTGTTTTCAATTTTTTTTTTTAAATTCATTTTGGTTTTTTTTGTTGTTTTTTTTTTAAATCTACAGTTTTCTTGCTGTGATAAATGTTATAATCTTGGTGATTTGAAGACATGTTGTCCTGGAAATGTTTTCAAATTTTTTTCATAAATTTTTCTTTTAATTTACAGTTTGTGATAACCGGTGTAAAAATCTGCAGTAAAATAAACACAAAATTCAACCATTTAAATAAATACCCTCCCCCATAAACAGTGAACGCTCCCCCACATGTTTCAAGAGACGTCTGAGACAAACAGATAAACAGCTGTTATCTGATCTGTACAGTAAAAACTGTTTCCAGCCGCCTGGAATGTGACACACACACACACACACACACACACACAGTGTCTCTATATAAACTGGTGTCTGTTACTGATTTAACGTCTTTTCACAGTAAAATGTGTTTTTCATTCTGGATGTTAAAAAGTTTCTTCTGAGAAGAAAAAGTTCAGAAAATACAAAAACACTTTGTGGCCGAAAGTTTGTGGACGGCTGAACATATGTGACATGAGGTCGTTAGAAGGTTTACGTGTGTGTGTGTGTGTGTGTGTGTGTGTGTGTGTGTGTGTGTGTGTGTGTGTGTTTCCTGTCTGACAGCAGACGTGTGAATAAAAGCAGACACAGACTGAGGTGATGAAGATGAAGAGCTGAAAACATGAGCTGTGTGTGGAGTGATGATGAGGAGGCTGTGACCTTCCTCACATTAACATGTTAAACATTTCCATCATGTTTGCTCCCACATGAGCTCTGTGAGTCTCCTCCTCTCCCCATCTCCTCCCCCTCTCCTCCCCCTCTCCCCATCCCCCCCCCCCAGCTGGTTTAATGCTTCACACAGCAGGAGAGGAACAAACGTGACAAGTTTCATGTTGTAACAAGAAACTTGTCCATAAAATAAAAAGTTATAAATAAACTATTTGCTGTGATGTTGAACGTTTCAGTTTGGATCAGTTCAGAATCTGCTGATAAAACATGGTGAGAGTTTCCAGTGTGACATCAGGACGATGATGAGAGATGGAGACAGACTGAAGAGACGGAGAGCTGCTGTGTTTCTGCTGGTTAACAGATCCTCCAGTTTAGAGTCTGGAGGTTTATCAGAGTGTTGAGATGTTGGAACACACACACACACACACACACACACACACAGAGTGTTGAGCAGAGTTTGTGGCGGTTAATAGATTCTCCACATGTTTGTAGAGTTTCCTGTGGATGGAAACTCAGACAGATCTCCTGACGGCTGCAGCTCTCTGAGGAGTCTCCACTTCCTGCCGTCTGTCAGTGTGTCAGGACGGCTTCAGGAAGTCCTGCTGTCTGTCAGCTGATCAGGTTTCTGTCTTTAAACCGTGTCAGTGTTGGGTCCAGCAGACTCAGGGTCAGTGTGAGCGCACACTCCCAAAATATTCAGGAGGTTAAACTTTATTGATCCCTGCAGGAGGAAATGTCCTGATACCAACATCCTGCAGGAACACAGAGTCAGGGCGCCTCAGCTGCACATACTGCTTCTTCTTCTTAAATGTGTACAACACATGTATAAAATATGTTTATAACCACTGTGTCAAATATATGTACAAATCATAGAATATTCAGATAAGGAAAAAATATACATATTAAACAATGTGAAGATGTATTAAATTAAAAATATATGAAAAATGTAGAAAAAATGTGAAAAAAACACAACATATATATAAAAATATGAAAAATATGTAAAATATATTAAAAATATAAAGTGTGTAGAATATAATAAAAATATGTAAAATTCAGAAATATGTAAAATAAATATAAAAATTGTAAAATATAAAAC